CACGGAGTTTTCGTCCGTGGCATCCCAACAATTACTCCATTCACACACAGAAGAAGGCAATGGCAAACCACTTCTGGATCATCTGCCAAGAACGTATATGAACAGGTCCATATGGACCTGTCGTCAGACAGAACACTAAATAATAATAAATTTAATTAAAGCAGAATGAGTGAGGCGGGTGGTGTAGCACGGTTTTAAGGCAATGATGAATGTAAATGAAATTCGAAATCCATGATACCTCTTGGTTGACCTAAGTGTAGATCAACGATAGTAAAACAACGAACAGGACTAGTCTAAATCCACGTTGGAGAACGCCACGACCCTAACCAATACATTTTGCCTGATTAGAATTCGTGAAAATACTTAACAGTCACACGCACTACGTTGGTTGGCAAATCTAGATATAAGGAGAATTCGAAAAATCTGCTGTTGCAAATATTTTATGGCAGAGCTTGCTAACGTGAAGGGTGTTTCAGAGAACTATAAATGCGAATGTTGAGGAATATTCGTTGCAGATTTATATCTGTTTACGTGAAATGGTGCCAGATTTATTTGTATCTTTAGAATAATGATTTATTCAAGTAGTCCAGACAAAAAAAAAACCCACAAAATTATGAAGGGAATGAAATATGCACACAAAAATAGCAACATTATTTATAACTGGAATATCCTCTTGTGGTAATTTCATGATTATAATTTCTCCCAATTTGTAATTGTTTGTGTGTAGTCACAGCTACTAACAGCTACGTTAAATAACCCACAAACGAACTTATAAGGAAAATATAGCATTATTTTCTTACACACATTTAGCCTTACATAATAATGCGTTCTTACTATTGTAAACACTATTTCAAGTTTAAGTCAAATTTAAGTAAAGAAATTTGTTAATACAGTCTTATATTCTCCATGTTTAGACAGTTTCAGGCATTTTTAGATTCCACTTATTATTCACTTTTGAAGTCAATGTTCCTGAATATGCATTCTTAATTTATTTAACCTTGATGTTCTGATACTGAAGCAATACAATACGTAATCAAACCCAGTAGACCGTCAGATATAATATTACATCATGTTCGAAACAAGATTGGCACAATTACGCATTGCATACGTTGAGTTTCATAGTGGAACTAAAAAGAAAGTAAAACATGAAGATATTTGTCTCTGGGTTGTCGCGCTGTGTAGTCTGGCAGAAGAAAACCGACGTTTCAGAGGTCCCTGCTGCCTCCATCACCAGGGCGATAAGTCGTCACAGAAAACAGAATTCAGCAGAAGCTAATCTCTTAGAACCTGAATTCTCATCAAGATAAAGCAACATACTTAATAAATTTAACTTAATTTTATATAGCCTTATCCTAACATGTTTATCCTGTCAGTTGTATCAGTGATGTATATTAGTTATTTAAACTGGGCTTAAGATAATAATTGATAAAGTGCACAACACGATACGGTAGGCTAAGATTTAAAGTTCGTTATGCATCCTGCTTTCAGATTATTTCAATGTAAAGCGAAATGTATTGTATTGTGGTGCAAATATCAAGTGTATTTAACAGTTTCAAGTTAAATAAAGTTGGTCGCTTTTCGGATTCCTTAGCTATAAAATACAATCTTTAGAATTTCTTGTAAAATGTAAATTTAAAAATGTGTTATCCGATATGTCAATGTATCTGTATCCCAGAAGTATAACTGATTAACGAACTCCACGTAGCAGAGTCCTTCTTGGGAACCTGACAGTTTGATAGCTGGTGAAAACGTTCAATGCCTTACATAAACCTCGTAAGTTCAGCCCACCACTGTGCCTTATTCTGAGCTAGTTGTATACAATTCACATCTTTGCCCGATATTTTTTTAAGATCTACTTTAATATTATCCTCCCAACTACACCTATATCCTCAAATGGTCTCTTATATTCGGTTTTAAAAGTAATATGCGTGTGTCTCCTTTCCCATGCGTGCTACATGTCCTGATCTTCTCAATCCCCTTAATATTATCGTACAAATATTTAATTAAGAGTAAAATTATTAAGACTGTCATTTTGTAATTATCACCATTCTTCTGTTAGTCTAATTCCGTCATTTGAGGTCCAAATAATTTCCGCAGCACAGTGTTATCAAACATCCTCAATTTATTTTCTTTCTTTATGGCGAGGGACCAATTTTAAGACTCATACAAAATAACATTCTTTATGTGAATACAAGTAGGTGCATTAGAAAGTATTTCTCGGATACATTGATACTCTTGAAGTTATACAAATGATTTAGATTAATATTTGAATAATATCAGGAATACTGTTTCAGAACACACTGTGGAAGTCCTCGTTTCCCCTTTCATCGTGAAATTCTGCTGTTGGTAGCTCTACTGCAGAAGGAAGGAATCCTTAGAGCTAAAGAAAAAGAATATAAAGAAACATATTTTATTTTTAGAAGCAGAAATGTATATTCTAAGTAGCATAAAGACTTGGAAGCCAAGGGAGAAAATTAACATTCTCCTATCTCTCTCACACTTTAAAGCTCACACTTGGTATTTCTTTAAAATTAATCTACAATCTTCAGAAATGAAAGATAACTAAGAAAATAAATTTAGAAGCCATCATGTCAAGTCTAAAGGAAAACAAAAAAAAATAATTTGCGAAATAAAAGGAATGACACGCTGTTCGTAGTGCAGAAGTATGGCTTCAAGACTTCCTTTTAGGGTGAAACACTCGGTGGAGTATTATAATTGCATTATTAGGTGTTCTTTACGCTCTAGCGTGAGCGTGAAACACCTTATGACCCCGTTATATCTGTCTTTCGCGTTAATCCTAGAAGGAATGCAACCTGCATGACCGGGACAGCTCCCGTGGGTCTTTGCCACCGACGCTGGAATAGGTAGTTTTGTGGACTGCACTCCATGGGGACAGTCCTAGGTAAAGGCCCCCACGCCTAGTCCCAACCAGGAATTTTAACTCCTGACGCGTTACCACTCACTTGGTAACTAATCTGAAACGCATCTGTTCATTTAGTGTTCTTGACCCTACTCTGTCTTTTATAATTTACTTCCTCAAATAAAGAAATTGCTGTCTCTTTCAGAATAGTTTAATTAAATAGATATTTTGGTGAACCGTTTTTAATGCGATAAATGGGGCTTGTAATTTTGAACTGCGAAAATCAAATCATGTGATTATACAGCTGTAGTCGTATACAAAACGGAACAGAAAACCTCTGAAAGTGTATCATGCTTAACATTTGGATGTACTGTCAGTCATTGAATTCCCTGTAAATTACGTTTATTGGCTAGAGGAACATTACTTCAAGCCATTCCATTGCAGTCTGTACGTAATAGTTACCATTCGTCATTGATACAATTTAGCTTTCTGATGGAAACCGAAAGTTTATTTTTCCTAAAAAAAGTTTTCTAGGGTGTGTAAACCATTCCATTCCCTAAAAAATAAAAGAGGAATGGAGCTCAGGGTGAACTCATAGGGGTGAAACACCTGGGGGGGGGGGTAAAAGCCACCCCCTTTTCGTTCTTCCCGTGCTTATTGAAGTTATAAATTTCGCCACCAGATCCAGTTCTTTCCTTCCGAGGTTCGTCTGTCGGTTCTGTTGCACGGTATTACAAAATAAGGTACACAATAGACACCTCAAGTTATTAAGATGAAGGCAAAGAAGTCCTAAAAAATAATTTTACCCATTGACATTCGAGATTCTCATGGCGACGAGTATGAAGATGGCTGTTTCTGGGATGACATGCCATGTAGTCTTGTTGGTAATGATCCATGTTTCATTGGTACTCATCACCATGACGATGAAGGCAGCATGCCCCTCTGAATCATTGGTGTAGCATTTCGTAAGCCACCCATATTTAGCGTTGCTTGTGTTCAAGATAGAAATTGAGCAAAATGTACGTTTGTAATAAGAGTTATGTTTCCATATTAATGTTGGTCCCACGACGTGAAAAGCAGATTCATAATAGACCTGTCAATAAGCAGAAAACCTGTTCTTTAAAACTGTTAATAGCTGATACTAACACGTTACGTATTTGGATTTTCTTGTGGAAAGATAGGAAATGCACAAACCTACATTTTTCTATAATATAAACTTCTTTTGTATTTACACACTTTTGTCAGATCTATTTGTTAGGCGATCGTACATGCCTTTATGTAGTGCATAAAGTGATCTATGTAAACACGTTTTATTGCTTGGAAAATGCATAACGCACAAAAGAATCATTATGAGGCACTAGGAGGTAACAGGCCTAAGTTTAAATGGATAATAATTTTAGGCAGTGCACTAATTTCCATGGGTCTGAATACAGAGTGTGTATAAATTTGTGCTTGTTTGCTGTAGTAAACACCATTCTCCATCATCTCTAAAAGGTTCCTGTTTTGGTTGCCTATCTTCCAAACACATTTTTAATTACGAACAATGCAATAAAAATGCCAATTCTGTATGAAATCACATTTTGTATAAGTCCTCACTCCCAGTTAAAAGCTCCTGTCTCCGGTAAGAATTTTGTGATTGCTCTCACCATCACTCTCTGTAAACATCGGAATGGAAATCTTGGACATGCAACAAGAGAAATTGACTAAGGAAAAGAGACGTTGAAGGAAATTTTTAAAATGTAAAATAAATCATGGAGCCCTAGACCACAGTTTAATTTATGTTGGTCTACCGAACTACATTAAGCGAAAAAGTCTACATTTCTCACCAATGTACATGATTCCTGCAAGGAGGACATTGCATTTTGTCTATTTAATATGTGAAAGGGACACAAATTATATTTCTTAGCCCAGTGCTTGTGGCAAAGGATCCATTATCCTTGGCGCTGTCACGTATCAAATACTTGACCTCTGTGTGGCCTCTCTCGTCTCTCCAAGCTGGTAATTATCAGTCCAAACACTCCCGCTGCCTGCTCCATACAGCAGTGGAGCTTATTTTTAGTTCAGTTCACAGATTGTAACTGCAGGAAGAAGTGTGGTTGGAACTCTGTCGCTTTTCGCGTTATATTCTCCTTCGACAACATTCTGAAGTGAGTTCACTTGTTCACATGATACAAACGCTTGTGTTGTAATTCCTTGTGCGATGTTCTGTTTTGCGTTCATTGGTTTTAAGTGTCGAGTTTTATGAAGTTTTATTTTCTTACGGAATCAGCCGGGACAGACCAACCAATTTGGTGAATGGTTACGGGCTGGACGGCCTTGATTCGGTTACTCTGGGGCCCATCTAGCGCCGATCCAGTGGATTCGGTTTGGGAAGTGCGAAGCTGATGATTCATCTTAATCAAGTGCCAAGATTAAGAATGTGTGGAGCTATACCTCCACTACAGCCTAGGGTTTCGTGGCGAGGTGCTTCGTTAAACCGTAGTGGTGGAGTGTTTGCCTCTTACTTGTAACATATTAACAATTACGCATTGTTTTACCAGAAAACGTTAATGGAAAAAAGGATCACTTTTATTTGTACTGTGAAACTCCGGTTTTCTGTGTACCTGGAATCGATGCCCTGATTTATTTCGTAATTTATCTTTTCTTTCTTCTTGGAAATAAAACAACCCTTGTAGCTTCGAAGCAAAAGACTCAAAAATTTAGACTTAAAAGTTGTAATGCTTAAAGTGCTCCGTCTAAATAAGATTTAAAAATCTTTGCAATTTATGCAATTTTAAGACTATAACAGACGATATTTTTAGAAACTAATAGCCATCTGGTGACGCATTTCTCGCCTTCTATAGATCTTTAGGATTCTTGACCGTTTTCAAAAGTCGTGGCCCGACCTCTCAGATGAATCGAATCCACAGTCTCGCTGATAATCGATAATTTTACTTATCTCAAAAGTTACTGTGAAACTCCGTTGGTACTGTTGATTACACTGTGTTTAAATGTACAATAAAACCTAAATCCGGCTGAGATTCGAACCTGTCACTTCAGTGCTGGTGCGCTAATCCGCTCGGTGAATCCGTTGACGAGAAATTCATGGGCTACTGTGGGTCTATGTATTTTTAAAAATTGAAGTCTTTATTTGACTTACCATCTATTATAATAACTACATCAAATTTGCTAGGACTACCTGCTTAGAAAGTCTACTTTATGCTATAGACTAAGAAAGTGCGTTAATCTGTCCGGATCTGTTAAAAACACCTATCACCACTTGTTACCTTAGAAAGTTTTTTATAATGTCAAAACCAAATAGTACATTTATTTGTCTCACAACTCGAAACTAAGATTCCCCAAAACAGCACATAAAACTGTTAGAATTTGCTTTACCAGTGAAATGTATACCAAATTAACATCAACCATTATCGTCACCAGGATCACCACGAAGTAATATTATTTGATTAGCTAGCCTGTTTAACCTATATATACGTATCTGCTTAGCGTATTGACTTCAACTGTTCTTGTACTGTGCTTTCTAAGCATATCAGAACGATTATTTTTAACGATGAAATTAATCTTCTCAATTAACCATCCATGCATAGTAATTAATATAGCCTGCTAAGTCTTCTTATGTAGTGACCATTTGCAATGTAACTACACCGCGCAGTCCTTGAGAAACTAGTAGTCATTCAACTAATTTAATATTCTCCGTCTTTTATGCAGCACGAAGTTTCATTAACATGTTTACAAGATCCCGCCAATGGACCTTGCCCTTAGCCAGTTTAATATATTTCATATCATCACACACCATCTCTTTCATATATCTCATTTCATAAGGGCATACAAGGACAATTAACGTGTTGCCAGTTCTCAAGAATTTTACCAACGATTATTCAGAACGAATTACAAGTAACGTGGCGTTGGTAATGTGCCTCACCGTGTATAATGAATAAATGTCGGAAAAATCTTTTTATTTTAATGTGGAACAGGGCTTGAAGTAACTGATAATCTGGCAGAAAATGTTCAACTTTCTTTCTAAATATCGCGGAAGTGAAGTCGTTCCTGTATAAATTATTAATGTTAGATTAGCACTGCCTCAGTCACGTAAAAGAAAAGTCTCGATTACCAACACTAACCAGTGAATTGTTCACTTGGACATACCCTATAGTTCGCGACTGTAATCTTGAGACTTGCGGAGTGAGGAAGTGGACTTCCTGCGTTCCTGGCAAGTCTCAAGATTACGGTCGCGTGCTCTACCAGTGTCAGTTGACGTATGGAAATTGTGGTCGATGTATCGTGTATACGGTGTTGTTCTTTTTTATTGAAACATGGATATCAAGTGAAATCTGTTTGTGTGCAGTGAATTTAATTGCCTTAAAGGCGACCAATGTTACGCAATGGGAATATTCCCGAGTGTACGCACACATGATATTAAAATACACTGTTCGGTTCGCAACAGTTGAACGACCAATCGCTGGAACAAGTGTAGGCGGATGAGAGAATTTGGACTGGTGCCACGAGGGGCAAAGGAGATGTGGCAGCAGTTTGTTTTGATTTGCATGGAGGTTTATCTGACTTTCCATACAGCAGTGTCTATTTCTTTTATAAACTGCAGTAATCACCACCAAAGAAGTAATACCACGGAATGTGTCACCTATTTTATTTAGGTAACGCCAAGACTCTGTAAAAGCTTACGTTTATTCGCTACAGTGTATCGTATCGGAAGTATAAATCAATAGTATGATGTTCAGTGTGTACGTTCAACCTGTATAGATTCCATCGACCTTAAATTTTCCAGAAAAAGGCCCAATCTCAAATCTTCTCTCCGTAACCATGTTTGTAATTTTCAAAATCGACCAAATTAGGAAGGTGTCCTCTTTGGAGTACAAATTTGATCATAGTTGTATTAATTATGGATACTTTAGATGGTGAGGTGGCAAGGTTTTTGAACTCTGCAACCAATTCAAATTCCAAAGGCGTTCTTTACGCTACATCAAGGGCGATGACGTGAGCAGAGCAACCAAGTGAGTAAGAGATAAAAGGGCATGAAAGACGTGGTGTCCAAGGTCAACCAATAGGAAGCCTGCATGAAATTTAACCGAATGAATACTAACAGAAACGACTATCATCAGTTGATCATGCTCCTATCAGCTGTTTGATGCCTGGAAATATCAGTATCACGAGATAAGGGTTCATACCATATCTGTGAAACAACTCCTTTTTTAGTCTTTATCAAACATGAACTTATTATGTTTGTTGATCTGTCGCGCCTCGCTGGCCTCAGTGAAGTTCTCATTTAAATATTTGCCTCAGCGTTTTATTTAACGGCTTCTTATCAACTGAATATGCTACGTATAGTCAAATGGCACGCGGCCTATTTTAATTTATTATTCCGATACGCAGCTAGAGGAACGTATGGAAACCAAGAAAAGTATCAGGATGGACTTCTTTGGGGTGATATTCGAAACAGGGATATCCCAAGTGCAAAGCAGGTGACCTAAGCAGTGTACTTCAGAGTTCGATTCTCCAGGGCAAAATATCTGCTTGCAAAGTCTGACCCACGGATTGTATGAGGATTCTAGTAGGCCTGTAGGCCTTGGGCAGATAAAGGATAAACACATCCATAGGAAAGCTCTTATTTACAAATCGCCGATTTCAACCTCAGAAATCAATTTAGAAGAACGAAATAAGTGATATTTAAAATATAGTGGGGAAGGAGTAGTGATTCCAGTAAGCAGGCCTATTAGTGGTTCTTTAGTTTTTAATGACAATATAAAAGAATAACCCGTGTTGTTTTTTCTTATACTTAAAAATATATACCGAAATAGGTCCCATCCTTTTATGTGTCGAAAACAGTATCCTTGTATGTATCCACGATAAAAAATTAAGTTGTGAAATATCAGGACTTCATGAAGCGTGTTATTTTAAAGTCGCTTTCGCAACTAAAATTTAAAAAGAAACGTAGATAGTAAGTAGTCTTCTGGGACATAAAGCCATGTAGTTTTACCGACGTTTCGTGTCTTTAATTTTACGGTAAGCCTCACACGTGTGTTGTATTTTGTCGTTTGTTTGCACGAGTCTCATATCTTCTCAGGTACTGGAGATGCTACGATTTCTCCGAATCGCGGGAAGTTGTCTGCACAGTACAGGAGAGTCGCTGGCGGTGAAGAGCTGTTGCGGTGGTAGGAAGCCCGCGATCTCAAACGCTGTACCACATGGCGGAGCTAGGAATGTGACGGGTAAGAGCGACACAGTGAGTTTCTTGCTTCCAGGACAGCTAATGAAATATGAATGCTGACCATCTGACGTTAGAATCCATGAAAGTTGCTCTACTATACCGAGACCACAGGAAAGGGGGGAGACCTCGAAAATCTTCTTGTTAGTGAAGTTTATCACTTCCAAAATTCATTCCTCCGGTGAACAGACTGGATAGACGGGGTAGGACACAAGGGAGTAGTCTTGGAAAGGAAAAGCATAAATCAGCAAGGGTAATGTGCAGAGTATCGAAACATAAAATCTTTTACCGCGGGTGGTTGTCAGGACGCTTGCAGTCGGAAAGGAAGTTACGACAGCTTGCACTGGAAAAAGAACTAGTAGTTCTTCTGTTGTTTTAAACACTCTTTTGTGACTTAGATAGTTATGGGAGGAAAATGGATTTCTGGAACCCCGAAGTTACTTCGTAAAAAACTATTATAGGACTATTTATAAAGAATTATGACATGCAAAGACTATGCAGGGACGATTGAAAATTTTAAGACGTATTTAAAGAACCTTATTGCTAGGATATGAGGTTCTCAAGGCGGCAAATATGAAGATGGCTGTCTTCTGGGTTATAGCTCCGTATAGTCTCATCGTCATGATGGTGGAAGCAGCAGGGATCTCTGAAACGTCGGTAAACTTATTCCAGACGTCACGGACAACGATCTTCATAATCCTCTGATCTTTTGAAAATTAATTTTTGTTTCCAATTTTTTTAACATTCTGCAACATAGGGACCTTGTCTACCGAATGAATAGCAACAGTGACATTTGTATTGATGTACAAAAATAGATGTGCAGACCAATTAACCGTAATGCATTACTTGTTTATGATTTGTTTCATTTTTAGATTTCCAACAATTTAACATCTACAGAACTCTGTCGGAGAGGAAGGAGTCCCACTCCTGGAAATGCATTCTGTCAAATAAGGGCACGCCGAGGCCAGTGACTGGGCTGATTAGGTCTTAC